AGTTTCAGCTAGTGTTTGTAGTAGGGCCTCATGGTCTCCCCTAGATCTCTCTTGAGCATCTTCTAGACGAGTGGTGCGGAGGGTATGCATTCTTGCATTTGCGTCAACTTTCGTGATTCGATGGAGTGCTGTCCTGCCCTGAATGTCGTTTCGGGCAACCCTAAGGACCAAGATTGGCAGAACCCTGTCTGCTGAGCTTCCCTCGCTCAGGTTATAGAAGCTTCGGTCTCCGTTAAACGGCATAGGTTGATCTTGCTCTTCGCTTCATGTCTCCAAACATTCTACCCAAGGAGGCATCAGGCCTTGGAAAGCCGGACGAGGGTTAGGATTTGGATTGGGAGCCACCGGGGGTAGGTTCTCAACCTCGGGTTCAGAGTTAGCACCATCCGAAGAGCCTTCAGCATGGTGATCATCCAAAGGGATTTGATGATCATCTTCTGGCTCTTCTTCAAACCATCCCTCATTGCCTTCATTCGGGAAGTACGGGTCGCCGTGGGGGTGGGGTTCAGCCATGTTATCTACGCGAGAATTGGGGATAAGAAATAAGCACACAAGTAATTTATAGTAACAAAAAATACTCCTATTGTATTTTAGGTTTATGTTCTGTTCTAATGTTTTCATTGTGGTATTGTTGGTAAGTTTTTAGACTTGTTGCAACCTCACAACCACACTTAGGCACATGCTAGTCAATCCTCGGATAATATAGTTGATCAGGCTATATCTTCCCAGATTTGACTATATGCCTCTAAGTCTACCTGTGCTGCCCAACAATCGTAATACTTTTGTTCTGTCCTAGCGACACTGATTTTAGTATGAATGCAGGCATGTATACTTATTTAAACATTTTATTATTTAAAAGTATAAACTCTTGGTCAGAGTATTTTAATCCCATTGTATTTATAGTCTGTATATCTTTTATGGGTTGATATAATCGATTCACTATAAACAATGCTCTGATACCAATCTGTCACACCCAAAAACCAAGAACGGCCGAAACGTTCTGGGGTGGAGGACGTCATGTAAAGTATCACAACAGTGAAAAGTAGTAAACAAGCAACAACATCATCCATTGCATTAATAGTAGAATTTTAATACATGTGTGTTCTTTCATAGAATAAGATATAAATATAATGTATCAAAATAAAAGATGAGTCTTGACTGCTCCGTCTTCTCAAAACCTGGTCATCATACCTGTCTACTGGTGACCTGAGAATACAAGTTATTTTGAAAGCGAGTATCAGCTTTAAAGCTGGTGAGAACTTAATTATTTTAGTGTCATTGCTTTGTAAAACTGTAAAGAAAGGACTTGTAATTGTTTTATGAAAACTTTGTATAAGAATGAAAACTCTAGAAAATCCCATATTTCCTACTAGTATAAAAAGCAGTCTCCTACCAAGACCCGACTGTTTTGAAGGTTTGGACCTCTGCAAAAATGAGGGTTTTCCCATGTATAACTATTATTATCTAAATATAGTTTTACATAAATATGTATGTGATAAAATCACAAAGTAACTGGAATAGGGAAAAATAATATTTTACCTCAGCAGTGACACTCCTGGCTATAGAGTGAATAAAACATAGACTCCAGGTGGTATCGAATGAACAACACGCCTCGAAAAGGCTAAATGAATGAAGTGTAGACTCCAGGTGGTATCGAATGAACAATACACCTCGAAAAGTCTAAATGAATGAAGTATAGACTCCAGGTGGTATCAAATGAACAATACGCCTCGAAAAGTCTAAATGAATGAAGTGTAGACTCCAGGTGGTATCGAATGAACAATACGCCTCTAAAAGTTTAAATGAATGACGTGTAGACTCCAGGTGGTATCGAATGAACAATATGCCTCGAAAAGTCTAAATGAATGAAATGTAGACTCCAGGTGGTAGGATAATTAGTCTCGTGAGGAGTAGTGTATGTACTAGTGCATCTTCATATAGTATACAATAGTGTCCCTATATATAGTATGTAATAGTGTCTCTTCCTATGGTATGTAATATATTCGTATAGACTCATGAATGAACTGACTCTTGTGTGATTCCTTGCACTAAGAATAGTAAATAGTATCTCCTAACTATACCCATTATAGTTACTAGTAATATATGTATATGAATAAACGGAAGTATGCCTTTACTACCCAAAGGTACTGAACTGACTGATAGAACTTTTATGTCTTTATATGTATACATAATATATAACTAATATTTAGACGACCTTCGGACAAATAACAGGATACCCTAAGTCCACAACCAAACAAGGAACATGAAATAAGGCGGGTTAGCAGTCCTAAGTCCTTTAAACATTACTTATATAACTATACATATAGAGGCATGCAATTGATAATCTAAAAGTTTTAAAAGAAGTTTTGTAAAAACAATTGAAAAGTTTAATAATAAGACCTGATGACTTGATGTCAATTTGTAAAACGATTTAAAAGCAGTTTCTTTGATGTAAACAGTTTAAAGTATAAGAAATCCCTTATTTGGAACATAGATTGAAGTACATGAAAACCTTTGTTTGAAACATAGTCATAACAGTATTTGAAAGGAAAGATGTAGTTTAGAAAACAAGTTTGATAAAGAGTTCAACGTGTAAAAGCATTCGGGAAATCATTTTGAAGTAGTTTGCTTGATTAAAACAGTTAAAAGTGTAGTAGATCCATAGTTTGATAGTTATTAGTCACATGTGATTGATATAATAACTATCATGATTCAAATTGTATTCCCCCCCCCCCATAAAAGCATTTAAAAACATTTAAAAGGTTAATTAAGGGGTATGAACTCACCTGCAGTGAGTGGTTTGGATGGAAGTGCCGGATAGGATGCTAAGTGTCAAGTGAGGACGTGAACACACACACGGATCCTATTTAACATGTAGTGATACATAAATGTATCTAATTAGTCATTTAACAACTAATTAATCAAGTAAAGACACCCTAACACATGGAAACACTTTTATTCAAGTGCTAGGAGTACTAAAGGGTTGTATCTAAAGAGAGTATGGCCTCACATTGGAGTTTACTTCCCATATGGTAACAACACATGAGTTTACGGCCCATGGTCATTTCCCCCATGAGTTTACGGCCGTAAACTCATGGTAATTTGTACCATTGTGTGAATTAAGGTCTTATACCCCTCAAGGAAGTGTTCTAGGTTTGTATCAAAGGCTTGGGAAGGGACTAGGGCTCAAAATGACCCTTCATTTGAGTTTACGCTCCATGGACCACTCCTTTGGAGTTTACGGTCGTAAACCCATGAGTTTATGGCCGTAAACTCATGGTCACTTTTACCATTTTGTGTTTTGGTGTTTCTAGCTCATGCTTGCAAGGTTCTAGTCCAATATCTAAGCCCTAGAAGGTGTTGGTGGCACTCAAACACCACTTGATGGTGTTTACGGTTCAAGGAGATCCCTTGACCGTAAACACATGTGTTCTTGAGGGTTTTTGATGTTCTTCAATGGTTTAACAAGTATACTACGTAAATAACTAGTTAGGAGGAGTGTACTTACTTATAGGAAGCTTGTAAGAGTGTTTAAAGTCCAAAACCACTAGTGTGTGTTCTTGGTGTTCTTGGTGTTTTGAAGAACACTTGAAGATCTACACAAATGGAATGATTTCATGGATGAAATCATGTAAGATCACTAGATTAAGGTAGGGAACAACTAATCAAGGCAAGAAACACTTACTTTCTTGAAGATCTTTGAAGAAAATGCGGATGATACTTGAGAGAGAAATGGGTTTTCTAGGCTTGAAATGGTGAAAAAGTGATAAAAATGACTAAGTGCCATATTTATACTCTTTGGGGTTTACGGCCGTAAACACTATGTTTGGGCCGTAAACTCCAAACTCTTGGCGTTTTGAGACTTTATTGATGCACAATAAACCCTAGGGTATCCTCTCTCCAGTTATCTCCTGAAGCACTAAGCTTTAAAAACACTGAAACGGACTTTAAACCGGCTAGAATTAGGAGAAAAGTATTTAGACTTTATTTGAAGTGCTTGACAGTAGGGTTTGTACGAATGGAAATTTCGGGTTGTCACAACTACTGGTGCGAGTTTCAAGGAAAGACGTGGCCTACTCTTTAATGATAAACGGTTCAAATTATTTTTGGGTTGCATATAAAAGCAAAATCCTTTTCCTTTGTTCATTACGCGATCAAAAATTCTCCGACGAACAAAAGCCATAATTTTCTCAAAAGCTTTCAAGAACTCAACAATGGCTGCTGTTCAGAACTCCAACACTGAAGAAGTTGCATCTCAACCTCTGATGAAGATCCAAAGCACCAACTACCAAGTCGAGGCTAATGTTTCTCTCTACCCTGAGGAACTTAAGATGTTAATCGTTGCTCTGAAATGATCTGGGCTAGCTACTGCTATGTTCAACTCATTTGCTGTCCCAATGACATGGTTGTCAATGGCTGCTTCAACTGCTTCTTAAAACAAAGCAACTTATGTTATCACTTTTAATCTGGTGGATGAGAAGCGAATTTGCCTAACCAAGAAGACGTTCACGCAATTCTTGGATATTCCAAATTCTCCACCATTCTTCAAGCCTACTAATTCTCAAATTATGTACATGTTTAATGAGATGGGTCATCAGCCTCCACCTGAGAAGATTAGTGATTTCAAGAATTCAGGTCTACCCTGTATGTGGAACTTCTTTTTCGTAATTTATCTCCGATGCTTGATAGGAAGGAGTGTGGGTCTTGACAAGGGCAGACTGGAGGTTTATGCCATGGTGATGGGTATATATTACGACTTTAGTGTGGATTATGCCACTCAGTTGTGGAAGGAGTTTGTTAAAAGTTTGGAAAACACGAACTTGGTAAAGGGGATTTCGTGTGTAAGGTACTGGAGCCTTGTTCTAGAAAATATTTATGAAAACGAGGGAATCCAAGTCCCTGCTGATGAAGTTACAGCTGAATTTGTGAAGTATCAATTTCCAAAAGTGGTTCAGGATGATTCGAACATTTTTCCTAGCGTAGCAAGCATTCCTGATGCCATGTTGAAGAAAGTTAATCCTACTCACAAGGTTTTAGTCAAGTATTTGAAGACGATTAATCCAGATGTGGAAACAGGGGTTTTGCTTGAAGTTGAAGCTGGATCATCTAAACAATCCAAGAAGTCTAAAGTAAATGAAGCAGAGGTACCGGCTACAAGAATGAATAAGCCTAAATCAAAGTCTCCAAAGAAAAAGGAGGATGTTGAAGTAACAAAGGAAAAAGAAGTTGTTGAATCAAAGAAGGAATTAATACCATCAAAGTCAGGAGTATTGAAGAGGTTGCGTAAAACACAACTAAGTAGAAAAGGAGTTGTTGTTCGAGAAATTCATGCTCCTGTTTCTCCATTATCCAAGAAGGGAAGGGTAGATGATGTAGCAAAGCATATCACCGAGAAGAGATATAAACGAAAACTTGTTATTCGTGATGATTCATCCGAAAATGATGTGGTCGCTGATACACCACCAGTTTTGTCCTCACCAATGGTAACTCTTTCTACATTTATTTCGTATGTTTCTCCCACACCTATCATTACACCTTCAACATCCATTCCACTCGAAATTGTTGTGACCAAGTCAATATTTAAGGAGGTCCCAATTTCAAACTGTTGGATTTTAGTATAATAGAACATCCTATGGTGCACATACAACCCTATATACCTTGGATCTATGTTTTCACTAATTATACATGCAAATGGTTACCAAGGTATTAACCTATAACTAGCATGCAATTGTCATATACCATATCAAAATACTAGTTAGGGAAACATACCTTTTATGTGGCTTGAAGTCTTCATGTATTTTGCCTTAAGAGCTTAGAACCAATAGTATGAAATGCCTCAAATGGAGTCACAACACATCTAGGACAAAGAATGAACTTGAGAGAGAAACTCCATGCACCAAAAACTCCATAATCTCCAAGATTACACATGTAGGTGTTTTTGGCTATGAATGGATCTATTTATATGTGTGAGGAATCCAAGAGTCATAGGTATAACCCATAACCCAAATCCATACCCATGGGTTTAATGATCCATGGTTCATGTGGCCCAACCCTTTATGTATCCATACATAAACTTGGTCCAACATGAATCATAAGCCCAACACATATAAATATAACAAATTAACATAATTAGTCCCCATAAATTTAATTAGTCTCTTTTGATCACCAAATTAATTCCAAATTAATTCTTGATCAATACTAATTAACTCATATGATTTCATATTAATATATTATAACTTATAATATATTAATAAATCATATATAACATCTTCACTCAAAAGTCCATCCTAACAAATTGTCCTGATGATAGGCAACCCAAATGGACCATGCTACTCTCGGGTCAAGTACATACCAATAATAGTTATAGGCTTAGACATCTAATCCAACAGTCTCCCACTTGGATAAGTCTAAAACTATTATTGTAGGTACGACTTCATAACCTGACTAGCAATCGTACCTCTTAAAGCCGCTGTCGAACTCTGAACAAATCAAATGACGTGTCCATCAGATAAGGGATCATATATTCCTCCATTCTAGATATCATATGGACTGATACATGGATTAGAGTCATTCTCTCTGTCCATTTGGTGTTTCCTGATTTCCGATTTATGACGACCGACTAATTGAACAAATCAAATCAGTCCAGGCTTAGCCAAGCACTTAGGGGTGTCATCACTAAATCATCGAGGGGCCCACAGATATCGCTTTTATCTCGAAGGTAAAAGGAATGGATAAAATTCGACTCATATGGCTTGTTCTACTACTTGTTGAATCATACACAAAGGCACGTTGTATAACATCGAGTTACCGAATGCGTTTTCGTGCAATCAATGTATAACCAACTTATAGTAACAACTCATATCTCTAGGTTTGAAGAGTATAAGATATTATCGTATCATGATTCGCTCGTGATAAAATCCATGAAGCGATTCAAATGAGCGTGGGTTTAATCAAATACTCGAATCTTATTCCAGGAGCACTCATGAATGTTGCAGCAACCATTGCTATGTCTAATGCACCTTAGACAAATCGTACAAGCCAAAATCATGACAGTCTTGATTCATGCCTACTTCCAATGTATGATCGACTGTGGATGGTTTGAATAACTCAGTCATTCGGGAAGAATGACCTAGTTATTCTGGAAGTCAAAACATGCAAAGCGAAACACAAGAATAATACTAATCATATATGGCCCTAACACTTTTAGTGTAAATAAAAAAACACCTCTTATCTAAGCACCATATTTATTACTCATTATTTGTGTTTTGATTAATCAACTTAAGACTTGAATAAAAACAATAGTCATGCCATGCTTCAAGCATGAATACTATGTTTTTCCAAACAATAGTTATGCCATACTCCAAGTATGCACACTATGTTTGTCTATGGTCCTTACTTTGTGAAATAGATCAATTGAACATGATTCCAATGATTCTCATATCACAATCCCAAATCCTTATTGTAAATGTAAGAATTCCAAACTCTTGCCATATACAGTAATTTGTTAGATTCTAAACTCATATGCAATGATCCACTTGTAATGACTATGCCCAAGTCACAAAGACTTGGCAACAAACATTACAGAGTATTCCAACGGAGAGCAATTCCATGGAAATGAAGTCTTACATTCAAAGTACATTCCTTTGAACATCCTTCTTTGCATTAAGTTTTCTAATCTTACACAGATTCAAAGAATAACTTCCACCTATGGAAACAATTCCATATTCCCATTTTGACCATCACTTTTGTACAAGAGTTACCTCTTTTCCAAAATATGTCAATATGGTCCTTTCTCTATACTTCCAACTGTCCACGAGCAACCAATCTTTGGTAAACCTTAGATTGTCCTCGACAATTACTTAACCATTTTAGCCAAATTTTTATTTGCAATGTTCTCAAAATATGAACTATGAAGAGGTATGTCGTAATCATAATCGAATTTTGAGAGCGCAACACATAGAGAATTTCCTTATGTTGAACTATTCCAACATAACATTCTTGTATATATCCTTGACTAAAGTTGATTAAAATCTCAATAGAATTGGAATGAAGTATAAAATCATCTCCCTTAATTATAGCAAAACAACTTTTTCAAAGCGAATTGAACCTTTGTTTTCTATAATTCACATTGCTAACTTGCAACACTTTGCATAATAATCATGCTCCCACTAGCATAATGATTATTATCTTACTAGCATAACAATTTATGCTCCCACTGGCTTTGATATGTACCCAGAAATCAGCTGGACTTCTAGAAATCAATACTTTATTGACTTTCTTACCAAAGTTCAGATTTCCGATACGAGATTGCTTTGATAAGACTTTATCAAAATCATACACATATCCATATATAGCTCACATGTGTGTCTAAACACTTATGAAGAGGGATGCCGTAATCATAATGTTTAGATCTTTTGCCATTCTCACAAGTCCATGTTAGTGTGTCGGTTAATCACACGCGCTCCACTAATGAATTTGAGAATACAAATATCACAATTCTTATCTGCTTAAAATCTACTTAGTGAAAGAGTTTCCTCACCATCATTTTTTATGAATCGGAGAGAAACCTTATGACACTTAGATTTTTTTTATGGTGTAAGTGTTCCTATCCACGTGAATTTGTCATAACCTTAATCACAATACAAGGTTAGTGACAAATCCAAATTCATATGGACTGAACTTGATCAATCTTTATTTCTTGTCTCCTGGTAGCACAAGGGCCTACCATTGCTTCCAGGTTGTTATGCAAACAATTGAGGACTCATAGAACTCATATGAAAAGTCAACTTTAACTTGAATGGACCAGAAACAAGAGACTGTCAACACGATAGGTTACAAACCTCAACACGTGGGCTAGTGATGAAATACAGGTTTTATTCTTGATTAGTTCTTGAAACTATTTCAAGATCTTCTAGACTCCCACTGTCCTCTTGACATATAAGACTCTCTTGTCAAGAGCCATTCCTTGACAAGACAAATATTCAAGAGTTAGGGCGAATTCTAATCATGACTAACACTTCACACAATTGGTCTAAGTTGGTCTTTGTTTTATCCAAATCATCACAACTTACCAATTTCAAATGTACTAGAGTAGATCACATGTTACTCTACATTTGACAAGTGTTATAAATCCTCTAAAGATTATATCACTCAAGTTACAATCTAGGAGTATGACTCTAAAGATTAATCCTCTAAAGATTATATCACTCAAGTTCTGATCATCGAACCATTCGATCGAAATCCATTTATTCGTGAGCAGACTCAGCTCACTCTTCCTTTAAGCTTCCTTTCTTTTCTTTGATCCTACACAACATCAAAATGCAAGCTTATCACATTATGTATTAAGAATCTAAAAATAGGAACTTAATAGAGTTAGATAGTGGACTTACCTGAAGCAAAGTCATACATCTTGACTTTATCATCCTTGCGATCCTTCAGGCAGACACGGAAAATTCTCATCCACTGCCCCTTCTCTTGGCAATAGGAACAAACAGACTCTTCTGGAATGGCACACGGGACAATCTCAGACATAGCCTTTCTTTTTACCATTCGGTCAAACGGTTTGACCTTGGCTGAACCCTTTCCGTTGGGAAGAGAAGACTTTTCTGGACTTCCAATGTGGCCATTGTCAATCTCCATGGAAGTTTGGGAGATTGATCTTCCATTCAAATTTGCTTGACCAGTGCACCAAATCATTGTTGATTCAGCAACAATTAGCAAATAGGTAAGATCGATAAGGGTCACGTAATGGTTAGTAATATAGTAATCTTTAATGAACTCACTATATAACTGAGGAAGTGATTGAAGGAACTTGTCAACAACCAACTTCCATGAGACAATGACACCTAACATTCCAAGCCTGTCAATGTGTGACTTCATCTCCAAGACGTGTGCACACACAGACCTTCCATCTTGGTGTTTGCTATCCAAGAGGGCTTGAGTGACCTTGAACTCTTCAAGTCGACAAACACGTGGGTCAGGGAGAATTATTAGAGGAGGTGGAGGAAGTGAAGCATGATTTCCATTTCCACGATCCAATCGTGGAACATCATCTTCATTTGGAAAGCTTTTTCCAAAGGATTCAAGAAGACCATCGTTGTTTGACATTTACAAAACGGGAGAAAATTCAAGTTAGTTTATAAGAGTCCTTGATATAACACCCAAATGAATTATTAAGGCTAGGACCCAACATAATCATTTACAATTCGGAAGAGGGATGTCGTAATCCAATTGCAAACTATTTGTCGGTTGGTAAATGACAATTTACCAATTCCACCATGAAAAATGAAAAAAATATTTAGTTTTAAATGAATTGAACTCCTAGATCTTTTGAGATTCATTGACCTTTTCAATGGCATGTTTAATCTCGATTATGCCCTTCAAGTTTGTGACTGGGATACCGAGGATCACAAACAAGGTGTCAATAACCATGCAAATTAGCTTGATTCTCTCAAAGACATCTATCACCTAATCAATGTGCCGGTTAACCACACACGCTCCATTGATCTTGTAACACCGTAAATTTTCAAACAATTTTTTTTTCATTTTTAATTTCATAAAACACATGTCATTTTAAATAAACACCATTTAATAGTCAACAAAGTTTTCCAAAACATTATCA